AGGTAACCACTGTGCTATGGAGTTCAAGTTGAAAATCTTGCTTGCAGTACTGTCTTGACTGGTAGGCTTTTTTCCTCCATATTCTGCTAGTAGAATAAACATTTCGATAGTTTTTGTTGTTATATTTGCACCAAGTTCTGAACTAGGAGAAAGTAAGCGGAAGAAAATTCCAGAGGAGTCAGTAAAGGAAGGCACTTTTCCAAGAGAGAGGCAGAAAGAGGAGGACTTGCAACAGAACCAAGATACAAAAGGTGAAGAACAGCAGTCGACCTCGAAACTTGAGGAAGTTGTGAGACTTAGAGAAGAGCTGAGCCATATTAATCAGAGTCTCCTTCAGTCTCAGAGCTGTGAGGATAGCTCAGATGACAGTAACACCCAGGTAGGTGCTGTAAACCCATGTTCTGTTTGGGTCCATTTCCTGTGACCAGCTTTGGATATAAACATAATTTTTATATCATCATTAATGTATATTTGTTGAACAATATCATAACCATGGTCTGAATGGTAATAAAACAGCAACCAAAATCTGAACTAAGCCCATCAGTTGATGTACTTTATTATGAAAGATTCTTAGGCTCTATGGAGGCTCAACAGGAAAAAAAAATGCTAATTAATTTTTACTGTCTGCCCTGGCAGGTAGAATAGGGAATGGCAGGATTTGTGCCACATTTTCTACTCCTGGTACCTAATTTAGATTTAGAGAGAAAAGACCAGATTTAGAATTGTTTTAAATAAGGCTTTTGCCATTTATCAGAGATCTACCTGTAAGAAAAATGAAAGGGGTAACTACCAGCCACAGCTCAGTATTTATACCTTAATTTTACACGTTCCCTCTTGTACAAATTAAGATTCCCCTACATACACATTTCTGGGAATTATATTAAGATTCACAGAGGGAGGGCTTTGTACTCGCAAGCAAACCAAATTCAAAAGACTAATAATAAATGTTTGAAAAGTAATTCAAGTATACATTTAGAAAAAAGAAAGAGTACCAGTAAAGGAAATCAAAAATATATTTGAAAAGAAATTCAGATATAGTTTGAAAACTAGACAAGTCACAATAAACTAAAAGGAGATTCCCATATATTTGAAAAAGAAGGGAGTCACTGGCTTTGTTCAGAAGACCGAAAAGACATAAATATTCAAAAAGAGGTTAATTTCACATCTCCCAGACAGGCCCTGTATTGGGCAGTGGGCCAGTGTAGGAACCTTGGGCAGACACTGGACACTGTGGTCACAAAGACTGTAAAATCTTTTTTATGAGCTAAAATGACCAGTGTACTTTTAGAATAATGAGATTTAGACTATAAGAAGTAACAGCCTGGTTAATTTATTAATTTTCTTTAATTTACACTTTCCCATAATTTGACGAATCATTTTTCAATATCCAGGAAGGAAGTAAGAAACTATTAAATATATAAAAATTCTATAAGAAATATGGGGAAATAACCCGTTTGTGAAAAAGCAAATAATCCTATATAGCGGATAGCCTCTTAAGGCTTCACTGAATTCTTGCATAGTTCAGTAATTATTTTCCCTAATAATGACTTTGAATTATTGAAGGAAGTTATTGAATAAGTTGCTCTTATTCATTTATTCAACCAGTATTAATTGAGTAGCTATGATGTGCCAGGCCTAGTGTTAAGGCATATACAGCAGTAAATAAGACAGATGTGGGCCACATAGGGGGAAAAAAAATTTGTATTTTGAACTTTACATTTCCCAAAGCACTGTCACACATACTATTTTATTTACTTTAAGCAGCAAGGAAGAAAATATACTTTAGACAGATATGTTTTTCTGCAGTGTGCCGTGGAGTAATAATTTCAGAACCTCTTTCCATGTGTAGAATTATTTGACCTACTGATGACTGTAGATTGTTCTACTTTTTAGTTCTTGTGTATGTGTAGTTTTGTTATTCTTCACCCCTGAAGCCGGGTTATAGTGTCTAGTACCTAGCTACTATCCACATGTACTGTTTTCTTAATCTCATAATTTGAAAATTTAAGCAACTATAAGCTGAGACCATATACTAAACTTTAAAGAATGTTTGTATATGGTAAATACATAGAAAAAGAACTGTGAGAGCCTCTTTTTTGAGTAAGTATGTGAGCCCAATTGTTCATATGTATTTGTGGCCACTGATGGCCTTTGGGGGCTTAATTTCTGCTGTTCAACAGTATTCCAAGTGAGGCTGTGATAGCTGAATCCTAGATATTACTTTCCCAATATTCTTGAAACAAGTTAGAACCACCATTAATATCTTAATTTTATGAGTTTAAAACCTAGCTTTATGTTTTTTTCATAGTATTATTGAATATTTACTATGTTCTAAGCACTGTACTAAATACCCTGTATATATTAGCAAAACAATGAGGCAGGAATATGATTGTTTCCACTTCATAGATGAGGAAACTGAGGTTTTAAAGAGGTTAAATAATTTGCCCAGGCTGACATGACACATTGTGGTGGAACTTGGGTCTATCTACTCTAGAGCTTGACCTTTCTACTGCTGCATCATTTGCTTCCAGTTGTGGAGAAATTCAAAGAAAGCATACAGTTTTCACGTCAAACTAAAGGCTAGTAAGCTGGCTCCCAGAAGTCCTTCCGGGGTGTCTGTCATAGATTATCTTGGTGAATTTATTCAAGGTTGGGCCCTTAGGCTTATAGGTTCCAAAACTTGATGTATTCGTCCCCTTGAATAGATTTGTGTCTTGGGGGTAAACTGACATTAAACCAAACACTCAAGACTATTGAGTAAAATCAGAATGTCAATTAGTTATTCTTCTGTAATAATTAATTATGAACATAACTTGAACATGTTTAAATAAACAGTTGCATTTACCTGTAGGGAGCTAAGAATGACAAATCAAAATCTGAAGGAAGTTTGATAAGTAGGGATTCAGAACAAGCAGACTTATTTCAATGATTGATACCCTCACAGATTTTGATAGCCTGTTTTATCCACATTCACTAGATGAGAATATTTAAAACCAGTAGTCCTTAACTCTGTTTCCATAATATGAATCATCTTGTCATTGGGACCAGTATATGAACTTGGTTCGTATTAAATTTTTATTTTATTAAGATAATATTTTAAAATATTATCTTAGACTTTTAAGATAAAATAGATAAAATTAAAGTAAAATAAATGTAGTAAAATAGATTTTTAGCCTATAAAATTAAGAAAATGCTGGTTCCAGCTTGTTTTATTTTAATTCTTAAGGAATTATAAATGATAAATTCCTTAAGATGGAAGAGAAATTAGACATCATCTGGTCTTATAACTTTAATTTGCAGATGAGTAAACTGAGACTCTGAGAGGATAATTGGCTTAATAAATCTGTTGATTGCACAAAAAAGGACCCCTGTGTCCTTTAGTTTGTGCTCTTACATTGTTCCTAGTAGCCAGAGGGAGTCTTTATGCCTCTGCACTTTAATGGGAAATAATTTACATAGTGGGGAAAAAAATTGAGGCTCTTTATGTTGGCCGTTTGACCTGCTGAGTGGTAGTTTTGTAATAAAATTTGCATTTCTATTCTGGCAAAGTGGCTTGACTGGAAAATGTAGATGGGGAGAACTACCATTCTGACTTTTCTCATCTTCAGAACAAGCTAAAAACATTTGTGCCTTTGTCCCATTGGTATAAATGGGTTCTTCTCTTTTGCATCTCTGTTTTGGTATGTAAAATGGCTGTATAAGCTGCTGATAACTAATTAATTATTTAAAATCTGCTGTATTAATGGTTAAATAAGAAGCTAGAGTGGTGATCCAGGCTTTCCAGGCTTTAGGAGAACTCTTATTTTCAGATAGAAGAAGATAGTTAAAATAAGGAAAGTTAAGTACCATCAGCAGTAATGGGTAATGTTATTGAGTGCGTATGTGCCAGGCATCGTGCTAAGTCCTTGCTTGCATGAATTATCTTACTTACCCTTTACTCTATCTAGTAGTTATCATTGTTTTTCCCATTTTAAAATGAGAAAAATGAAATGTAGAAAGACAATGTAACTTTTCTAAGATTACCCAATTACTAAGTGATCGATTCAGGACTGAAACCCAGATAGATGCAACTCCAAAGCTAGGGTTCCGATAATTGTATTATAATTCCATTAAAGAGTTTTCTCTAGGAATCTTAGACACTTGCATCTCTAAGAAAAGCAAATTGAATTTAGATCACTTTTCTGACTAAACCAAGTCAGGAATTTAAGGGTTAACAGGACTTGGGAAATTCTGTATTGCAATTCTGTTATAAGCAAGATAGAAATAGAATGATGATATGGACTTTTCAGAAAGCATACTGGACCAGGACAGAAAAGCATACTGGACCAGGACTCAGGAAACTCTTAATTATGTATTATCTATTGAATTGGATAAAGTTGAATTCTTTTTCTACTCAGTACTTGTGTGTGCCTACTTTTGAGAAGACCCAAATGACTCTTTCTTTGGTCACAGCGTTTCATTGTACTCCAGGGACCTGACAGGAAAATGTGTTGTTGAGTAGTATCTGAAGAAGAATCATCAGGCAGTAAAAGTGATGAGGAAGGCTAGAAATGTAATCTCTCTTGCTAAATGTTCTCTTTCCTTTTGCCAACAGACAGCCTCCCCACACACACATACACAAATACAACACATACACATTCACACTCTACTTCTTCACATATTGGCTGTTATAACTCCTTTAAAGCATGTTTTACTCCAAAATCATCAATGCTTCTTCTGTTCCCCTTCACTGATATGAGAAATATGAAAATTAATTGTCTATGCTTAACTGCTTTTGTTCACATAATTTCTTTCATATTTTCACTCTACTATTAAATTATATGAACATGTACCAACTAGCTATAAATATAAAAGAATAATTTGTTGTAGATAAGCCAACTCCAAAAACATTTGCATGTGAATAATCACATCTGACAGTTCTGGTTCTGACAGCTGGAACCCATGTTTTACCAATATTCTTTCAAGTTGTCCATGTTTCTCTTTTAAAATGTTTGTTTTAGTATTCATCATCTGGAGAAAACCTGAAATACCAGCAGCAAGAGGAACTACAACTTCGCCAGAATTTGCACCGGCTCCAGACTCTGTGCAACTCAGCTGAAAAAGAGCTTAGATATGAGCGAGGAAAGAACTTGGACTTAAAGCAACATAATAGCTTACTTCAGGAAGAAAACATGAAGGTAACGCCAGTGAGCACATCCATTATGGAAGGGTCTCAATTGTTCAGTTGGCCCTGGGGATAAATGAATCAAAATTCCTCAACTTTATAATTCATGATAGAGTCCATGGATAGGTGGACAATGTGAGCTCTCTGGTAACTCAGTTCTTTAACTTTTCTATACCAAGTAGATATACAGCTCTGTTGTTTCTCTGCTGCTGAAGGTGTGTGTATGCTGTCAACTTGCAAATATGAAAAGTTTTTAAATTATACAATCTTTTGAAATTATTACCTAAAATTTTAGCACTTACTAAATTTTAATGACCTGAGCCTAAACCCTGATTGTCTAGCCCCAGTTTTATATCTAAATTTATTTATCTCTAATAGATATATCTATTATTATTGGTTGAATCAAATGTCAACTGTATCGAAGTATAATTCATAGGAGGGCAAAGTTGTTCTTTCTGATAAGAGAGCATCAAAAGTTAGAGGAACATCCCCCAAACATGCTTGTTTTAAAATAATGTAGAACTGCTATTCACATTCTCATTTGAATTTTATAAACCACATTAATGTTTAATTGAACTACCACGTAAAATAGTACTTCTTTTTAATTGTGGTTCAATTCTGTAAATATGTATTAGGGACCTGGTTTCTGTGAGCCCCCATCTAAGGTTCTGAAATGCAACATTCAACAAATATTTATTGAGCATCAGTCATAAGCTGGGCAGGCAATCTTGTCCACACTGAGGGTTTACTGGTAGGCAAAAGAGACACTACCCTTATCCCCTGGTGCAGGGGTCAGCAAACTTTGGCCATGGGTCAAATACTGCCTGCCTTCTGTTTTCTTAAATAAAGTTTTATTGGCACACCCCATACCTATTTGTTTAGGTATTATCAATGGCTGCTTTTGCACAATGACAGCAGATTTGAGTAGCTGTGACAGAGACCATATACCTCACAAAGGCTAAAGTATTTCCTATCTGGCCCTTTATAGGAAAAGTTTGCCAACCCCTGGTGTAGTGGGATCAATGGACATTATTCGAAAAGTGACATCAAAATGAATTAAGAAAGGTCTCTACTTTTCAGGAGCTCACAGTCTAGTAAAGGAGATACAGAGGAAAACAAATAGTTGTTTATCTCAAACTTCAAGGGAAACCCTTCTAGGAGTTCTAGTATTCTAGGGTTATTTGAATAAATCTCTTCCCTCCCTCACCCCTTATGATTTTTTGATTATTGATCGTATTCCCTCAAGCCTTTATAGTTTTAAATTAAATTCCAAATCTTCATCACATTTCCTTGTAAGGTAGCCTTTTACCTTCCCTTCAAGCATATTTCTTAGATCACTTTAACTATTCAACTCTGAGCATATTCAAGCAATACTACTGCTTTTTCAAGGCGCTATGACCAGATCGACGCAGATCATGATGCCTTATATATGGTTGGACCCTATAAATATTTGTTGAATTAATGAATGAGTCCTTCAGGGATAGGTAAATGATAGCTTGGTAAAAGGAGAAGATATTTTTTTGTTCTGTTTTAAATCTTTGTGGTGGGGTAAAATTTGGCCATTTCAGTAATGAGACCAGCCTTTGGGCTGGCTGGTCCTAAGAGCCAGGCTCCTATGCAGAGTTATATAGAATAACCAGCAACCTTTTATTGGCAGATTGTCCACTTTATCTCATATAAACCTCCCCATAACCCTAAACAGTCTGCATTTTATAGATGAGAAAACTATTCAAGGTTGCAGAGCCAACAAATCGTGGAGTCAGAATGTAAACCCAGGTCTGTTTCTCTCTTTCCAGTGTAGAGTTTTCTTTCCATGTTACACCTCTCCTCATTTGAGGTCATTTTGGAACCTCAGCTTTGCAAACTTAGAGCTCACTTTTTAAAATTTATTCAGAGATTATCAAATTCTGGATCTCTGGCTAATGTTAGGCATATTCATGAGACTGATTTAAAAAGCAGAATACTAGTTAATTTCTTTTAAACAGTTTTACTGAGAAATATAACACTCAGAAAGTACATAAAACATAAATATATAGTGTAACAAATTGTTGTAAAGTGATTACCCATGTCACCACCACTCAAGACAAGAAATAGCACCTTGCCCATATCCAAGTAGCCTTATCTTAGCAATAGCCACTAATTTTGGTAATTGCTTTCTGTCTTTACTTTATAGTTTTACCATCTATGTATGAGTCCCACACAGTGTAGTTCAATTTTGCCTGTTTTTGAATATTTTACAAATACAATCAGTGTATGTACTTGTGTCTGTCTTCTTTTGATCTGCTTTGTTTGGAAAAGTCATCCATGTTGTGGTGTATAGCCTTTGTTCATTCATTTTCTTTGCTGTATAGTATTCTACAATAAGAAAATGCTGCAGTTTATTCTTTCTATGGTTTATGGACATCTTGTATGTTTCTATTGTGGGGTTATTAATAGGAATGCTATAGGCTTGCAGAGCTTCAGGCAGAGAGCTGTTCCGCCACCACTAACGTTGAGACAGTATACTGGATCCTCTTCCTGGTGCCTGACTGTCTCAACCTAGAGCCAAAGAAGCCACCCTAGATGCACATGTTGTTAGCCGTAACAGCGATTGCTGCAATGTTGTTGTCTTATTTCATTACCAGCATTACCCAAATGCTGAGTATTGCTTATGACTGATGATCACAGGTCCCAGAGGCCTTAAGCTTTCTTGGCCTATGGAATAAGTGGATAATATAGTATTGAAGGACCTGTACCCTTTCTATTTACCATAGAAGTTTAGGTTTTATTATCTTGAACCAATCTAATGCACCAAATAGTCTTTGATTTCTCGTTTCTTCTTCTATTCATCGTATCTATCTGTGTTTTACTGAGTTTTTCATGGTTTCATTGTTCTTAAAAAATGTAACTTCCCAGCTATCTAATAGATTGCAGTGCCTTTTGAGAAGAAATCAATAGTTAATAGATTTGTTCCTGTCAATGAAGTTTCAAAAGCTGTACCAATCCTTCAAAATAAAATGAAAAAGTGGCGGGGGAGGCGGGGCGCGGAAGAGAGAGAGAGGTTTAACTGGTTTAGAATTGCAGAGGATGGAGGGAAGTAGGTTTTCACTAGAAAAAGAAGAAGCTTATGAAAGCTAAATCCAGAATTTCTTTTTGGTAATACCAAAGAGACAAGCTTATTCCAGTACTTTTTTCCTGTGCACCTACATTGACCCACCATGACAATGAGGCATTTTACTTGAAGGGTTTAATTTCTTTATTTCTACATACATTCATTTATATTCTGTTTAATAAAGTATTTGATCACTTTTGCATGTCTGTTAAAATTTTGCGGGATGATCTTTCTGGTCTTCAGAAATTAAAGCAAAAGGAGGTAACATAAGCTCATCGCTCTGGATGCTGGAGCAGCTTTTAACCAAGGAGAGCATAAGAGCACATTATGTGAAACATGTTCATTTAATGAATGTAAGACTCTTTCCTGAATAGTGAGATGTATGAAAGGATCTGAGTAATGCCTCTACTTTTTGAAAAAAATGCTGCTATGAACATTCATGTATATGTGTACTGGTATCTACAAGTATGCACCTCTCTAGGAAGAGAGGAGGAATGAAATTATTGCATCATAGGGTATATATTACTTCAACTCTTTAGTTTTCTACTCCCACCACATTATATGAAAGTCCCTATTGCTCTACATCTTTACCCTCTTGGTACTGTCAGACTTTAAAATTTTTGCTAACCTAGTATATGTGTATAGTTGTAGCCCCTTGCAGTTTTAATGTGCATTCCCTGTTTACAAATGAAGTTAAACAGCTTTCTATGTATTTATTTGTCATTTGAGTTCCCATTTTGTGATGTGCCTATTCAAGATTTTGTCAGATTTTCTTTTGGGCTCAATATTTGATAGAAGAAATCTTTTCACTCTAGTCTTGTTCTAGGATATCTTGGCTATTCTTGGTCATTTGATATTCTATATATATTTTATCATCAGTCTGTCAAGTTACATGCATATACCTACATGCACCCACACACAACCTTTTGGGATTTTAGTTGGAATTACACCAGATCTATAGATAAATTTGGGCAGAATTTAAATCTTTTCAATATTGACTCCACTAATTTATGAAATATGTATATGTATTTATATTTAGGTCTTCCCTAATTTCTTTCAATATTATAATTTTCTTTGTGGATATCTTATACATCTTTTGTTAGACATATTCCTAGGTGCTGATATTTTCCATAGTATCATAAATGGTAACTTTAAAAAGTTTTTATTTTCTAACTATTGATAGTGTATAAAAATGCAATATTTTTCTATTAAAAACTTTGCCATACTTTTAAATTAATTCTTATAATTTATGTTTACATTTCTTTGGATTTTCTATGCAAGCAATAATCTGAGAATAAATATAATTTTCTTATTTCCCTTCCAAATGTTACATCTTTCATTCTTTTATTCTTGTTCTTTGCAGCATCTAGTTCAGTGCTGAATAGAACCATTGATAATGGGTATCCTTTTCTCATTCCCAATCTCAAAGGAAGATCTCTCAAATTTCACCATTTAGTATGTTTTTGTAGTGTCTTTAGACATTCTTGCTCACATTAAGAAATTTTTGTCCAGTGTTAAGTTGTTCAATGTTTTATAATAAGTACATGTTGAATTTTATCAAATTCTTTTTCTGCATATTTTGAGAATATAAGATTTTTACAATTTTATACCTAATATGGTGAGTTATATTGACTGATATAATGTAAACCCAACTTTGCATTGCTGGCATAAACCCAACTTCAGCATAAATTACTATCCTTTTCCTACATTGCTGATTTTGGCTTGCTAATATTTCTTTAGGATTATTTATAAATGAGACGGCTTGTCATTTTCCTTTTTTTGTAATGTTCATATCAAATTTTGATATTATGATTATCATACCCTCTTCTTCTATTCTCTAGAAGAGTTTGTGTAAAATTGCAACTATTTCTTCTTAAATAATGATAAGAACTCATCTCCAAATCCATCTGATTCTAAGTTTTCTTTTGGGAAGATTTTCAATTAATGATTCAATTTCTTAATAGTGATGAAAATCCACATTTTTTATTACTTCTTGTATCAATTTTGGTATATTTTACTTTTCTAGAAATTTTTCCTTTTTGTTTTAATTTTTAAAATTTTTACGTAAACTCATTCATCAATTTTTAAATAGAGCAATGGTCCTTTTTACTTCTATGATACTATTTACCTATACTTTGTTGCTTTTCTCTTGATTATTCTCAGTTTATCTATTATTAGATTTTTCAAAGAACCAACTTTTAGCTTTGTTGATCCACTCTATAGTATTCTCTTTCGATAAATAAACAATATATAGATATTTCACAATTTAGAGGCAGTATAGTGTGGAATACTGGATTAGAATCAGAAAAATCTGTATTCAGACCTTGGCTCTATCATTTGCCAACTACATTTGAGATTCAATTTTTCCATTTCTAAAATGAAATAAAATATCAATTTCATAGATATGAAAGCCTAACAAATGTAAAATAGTATTATTACTTTCTGTTTCAGATATATACTTCAAATACAGTGGATATTCTGATTCTTGAAGAACAACAGTAAACTTGTAGTAGATGTTGTCTATGTGTCTGGCTCTATTCTTGATGCTTTTGTTCTTTGTTTTATTTATGTAACTTCACAACTGTCCTATGAGATTATCCCCATATTACAGATAAAACTGAAGCTCAGAGAGGTTGAACATTATTAACTTTTAGATTCACTTGATAAAATCCGATTGGTTAATACCCATAAGTCATAAGTAGAGGAGATTATAGTTGTAATCTTTATTCAGTTAAAAAGCTTCGAGCCCAAGAAATTCTCTTTTACATGAGTAAAAGTAAATTCTGTCTCAGCATTTTTGTCTGTGAGGCCTACCTAGTATGTCCATTTACCAAATTCTACTTTTTCTTTAAATGTCATTCATTCATTTGTTTGTTGAGTAAATATTGAAGAATCATCTATTCTTAGGCATTTTGATAGGCCTCGGATACTGAGAAGTGAATAAAACACGTAGTCCCTGTTCTCTTGGAAGTTAGAGTGGGGAAAGAGGATATAAACAAGTAGGTAAATACATGTTTAATTATAAATTGGGATGAGTTCTATGAAGGAAATAAATGTGGTGCAATAAGTAAGGAATAAGTAAGGAGACCTCTTCAAATTAAATGATCATAAAAGTTTTCTCTTACAAAGTGGCATTTTAAGCTAAGACCTGGAGAATAGCAGGAGCCAACTAAACAGTGAGGAGGGGAACAGGAAAGCATTCCTGGCAGAAGGAAGAGTGGAAAGAGTTTAGTGTGTTGGAATCTCTAAATAGAAACCAGTGTGACAGATCAGTGGAAGAAGAGAGAATGACTAGATGATTTTAAAGGTTAGCAAGGGCCAGATCATACAAGGCCAGGCAAGCTGCTGGGATTTGTTCCCAGAGTGATGGAAAGCCACTGGAATATTTAAGCAGGGGAGTCAAGTAGTTCAGTTTATGTTTTTAAAAG